GTACGGGAGATGTGTTAGATGAGCTAAGTCCAGTGCGAGCCTGGACCCCACCTTCTACCCTGGGTAATTGCTACAATTTCAGGGGCTGGCCCACCTTGAGGCGCGGTATGCGTACCTAGGCCGTAAGACAAAAGCCAGCACGGACGGTTAAGACGTTAACATAATGGCTAGCAAAACAAAGACAATTAACACCAAGATCGGATTGCTCGTATCGGCTAGATGTAAAGTGTATGTATTGTGGGATCTGGTAACTGCTGGCAAACTTTATCTTAAACCTGGCGCCGAGTTTGCACTCGCGGCGACTGCAGTAACTACAAGGGTGCAGATTAAGCTGATAAGAACAGATTTATGTCATATGATTTAAAGGGAGACATGTTATGGACAAAAACTTTAAAAGTAAAAATGTAAGTCAAGGGGGACATAGTGAGGTCGCTAAAATTTAAAAATATACAAAAAGAAAAAGGTTATAAAACAAATTGTCACTAAATATGTGACAATGGATCACTCGAGCTTGTCGGACCCCGGACGAATGCGATGGATATTTATGTCCTGATGAGGAATCATTCAACAACACGAATTTCCTCATCCGGGTACTATACGACCTGCTACAGAGCACCTTCAAAGCCTCGTTCGGGGTCCTGATCCAAACCTCCAACTATAAAGTACAACTGTCGCCTCACGGTTACCTGGCGGCCAACTCCGCTCTGGTCCTCGTATTGGACCTCTTCTGCATACGCCGCCTCGACGCCCACGGTTGTCCAAACAGCACGAACGTCACTACATAAATGTTTGGTTCCAGCTAAATCCGGCGAAGCCTGGTCTCAGGAGCTGATTCATCAGAGAACCTCAAACTTTGTGGTCGCCGCTTTTCTTGATCCTGGCACATGGCGTTGTGCCTCTGTGTAAACGCGGTGTAACGCATACAGTGATCGACGATGGATGAAACCGTTGTGTGCCACATCGACGACACCTGCGTTCCTGGACCTCATAGTGAGCCATTCAACGGCACAGTTCAGTCTCGCCCTATGGACGAAACGCAGTCCACCGAACCTCATTGGTCGCCATCTCTAAAGAAAGTGAGAGCTGGATGAGCAGCGGCGGCACGCTCTTATGCTGCGCGGTCGTTTCTGGACAGGTCTTCGCTTCGTTTGAGCGGAGTGTGTTCTTATTGTCCGCATGACCGCCCTCCTGTGCTTGCCTCCCAGCACCATTGCCTTCATGTGTGATCGAGGCGCCTCCCAACGTCAACCGACGTTGAGTCTTTTGAGCGTTCCGCGCCTCATTACCGCTGCTCCTCCGGACCCTAGCTGCCGGAAAACCTTCGTCCTCCCCTGACAGATGACGCGACTTCCTCGATGGGCAGATTCTTAGGGTCTCCGTCTCGTCACGTCATCCACGTGTTCGGCCGCGTCCGCCGCGACGTGGGTCAGGTGGTGTACAGCTTGAAGGCGCTGTCCACCGCCGCGATGTCGAGTCCTCCGCGAGCAGCCTGACACCGCAACACCCTCTCTTGGTTGAGCCGTATGTACTCCCCGACGCTTCCTGGGGTGAGGTAGCCTTGATCTGGTCTCATAATCCTATGTTTATAGTCCATCATAAACAGTATGCGCTGGAGGTGCACCGTGGAGATAGAAAAGTCTTCCAGGGCATCGATCTCTGCCACGGTGCAAGTTTGCTCCTAGCGATGCGCGAACTTAATGTCGGTTATCTCCGCGAAGTGGACAGCCTGGAGCTGTAAAACCGACTTGGGCTCTAGGAGCTGTCACCACCCTCTCCTTCGGCGACGGACGGGCGAAAGTCATCAATATAAGTGGTGTCCCTGACACCCGCATACCGTGGTGCAATACACGTTAAACATACGGCGCAAAATGACTGAGAGAACATCGACGAAGTAGTCCACCAAAACCGCCGGCTGGTGCCGTCTTTTGGCCCAGCTGTTCTTCGTCGTTGTGAATTTTTGTCAAGCAGCTGTCCGCCGCCTCTTGGTCCAGCTGCCCACGTGTGTGATTGTATGTTTGTTTCTTCGTCGACCAGCTGAACGCCACTTTTTGGAGCAGTCTGGTCGCTCCACATGTGAGTTATACATGAGTTATGTACATATTTTGTATTATATTATTATATTTTTATGTAATTTTTTTTCTTCTTGACAATTTTATATTAACTTTTTTTGGATTTTTTTTTGCATTTTTAGTCTATGCTTGATTACAGATATGTCTCCCCCCTTACTTACATTTTTTTAATACTATAAAATTTTTATTTTCCCATATATCGTCTCTCTTTAAATATTTTATACTGAATAAATCTGTTCTTATCAGCTTTACTATGCTCTTTTTATTTACCAAGTCTTTTCCAAATTTTATATGCAGGACTGAGGTTCACATCCAAAAGTTTTATATTCAATATAAATACTTTTCCAAACACATAAACCACCAACCCAACCATTTAGTTAACTCTAAATCGTTAAGTTACGTAATTCTAAATTACTATATACTTAATCCATCAGCATCCATACAATGTCTGATCACCAGGATAACAATCCATCTCCTCGGAGACAGCGAGCTGCCCCTCAGCGTGCGTACCGTGGTCGTCCAGAACGACAGCGCAACCCACACGCTCCAAACGCTTGGCAAGATCGCCGAGCTCAGCCTGAAAACTTCAGGCCACCGCGTCCGTCACCTAGAACGGCTCCGCCAACATTGCCCCCCCCCCCCTACCAAGACACATGACGCGTCTCATGTAAAATTGACCGAGTCTAGTCCTGCTGAGGGCTCAATGTTCACGTCAGGTGTAGGCATCCGAGAAGTAACTCCCCGTGCCGAGTTTACTCCATCAGCACCTGCCCTCACGGCAAGCTGTGGTGTGATCCAATGTACATATTTTGTATTATATTATTATATTTTTATGTATTTTTTTTTCTTCTTGACAATTTTTATATTAACTTTTTTTGGTTTTTTTTTTTTGCATTCTTAGTCTAAGCTTGATTACAGTTATGTCTCCCCCCTCACTTACATTTTTTTAACACTATAAAATTTTTAATTTTCCATATATTGTCTCCCTTTAAATATTTTATACTGAATAAAACAGTTATTATCAGCTTAACCTGCATTTTAGAAAAATATCGAGTCGCCGTGAGTGGAAACTCAGCGCCAGGTATAAGTATAAAAACGAGTTAAACAGTTAACCCGGTATTGCAGTACCACCGGCAACGGCTCACATAACAAACAATTCTGTATAAAATTTAATAAAATCATTTAATATAAAAGTATTCAAAATATTTTCCAAAATGTCAAAATTCAAAAATTTTGATAAATTCAAAAATGATATTTTGGATTTCCAAATTTTCGCTCCTTCGACTAAGAATCTTGTAATTTTCAATTTTAAATATTCCAAACCATCTCTTAATATTTATAATTTTCTATTTTAACATATTATTCATTAATGTCCAAAACCTTTTTAATTTTATAATCCGAAAGAGTCCAAAATAGCAATGATTTTTGACGTATACAATTATATTCTAGACTGTTTATATCACGTATAAAATCATGTAATGTAATGTTACTGGCATGTGTTGAATCCTGGTTTTGGAACCAAAAATGTATCAAAGAGTTAAAAATCTGCAAGAAATATTTAATTGGTTCAACAAAAAAATTAAATCAAAACATTTCAAATATCAAATATTATTTAAAAAAAAACGATCAAGCTATAAATGTAAAATTTACGGGCTAAAATTTTATTTTCTGCTAACATTAATTATTCTTGGAGTTCCGAATAATATTATTGTTTATTATATAAAATACTTGGCTCGCAAATTTATAGGTATCATTGATACTGTGGTACGCCGTCAGGTTAATTAACGGTCGGTACCAACTTTCGTAGAGAAACGTTAAGCCTTGCGCGAACTTAGCGACAAGGTGTAAGGATCGACGTAGTCTTTTTATTAAAAATATTTATAATAATACGTTACAAAAAAACGGGTGCAACACGATTGCGCAAAAAATTTGTAACACGATTGCGCCTCGATCCCTTTTTACCGTTAAAATCATAACACCATTGCGCACCAAATAATATATAGTATATACTATATCTATAGTACCATATATACTATATACCATAGTCCAGGGGTGGCGAACCTATGGCACGCGTGCCACAAGTGGTACGTTGACCAAATTTCAGTGGCACGCAAATATTATTTATCTTAAAAAAAAAATTATATTTTAAAACTTTATTATGAGAAATTTTAAGAATCAAATTTATAAGTTTGTAATAAAATGTGTTTATAAATGTTATAATAAATAATATTTATGGTTTTTGTACTCATATCGCTACGATAGAAGTACAAAGTACCCAACATTCGATTACGAAGTTTATTTTAAATTTACCGATACCGCGACCGGTTGCGATAACAACAATTGCACTTTGTCAGCCGTTCAAACGAACTTTTAATTTAGTTACCCGTCGGCCGTCGTCAACTATCGTGATTATTGATAAATAAATACGAGTATTTTATTAATATGTCACTTTAAAAAAAAATGAAATGTTCTGAAGAATCAACGAGTCGAAACTTTCAAGAATGGTGGACATTCAAATATGGTATGATATTCAAAAATAATAAAGCGTTATGTGTACTGTGTTCAGAAAGTGTTGTATGTCGAACTTCATCTGTCAAACGTCATTTTGAAACTATTCATAAAACACTATTAACAAAATCTGCCGATGAACTAAAATGTTTTATTTCACGTGCACTATCAAATAAAGATGCACAGAGTGATAAATTAATTAAATTTGTTAAAAAATCTGATAATTTAGTGTCTGCCAGTTTTGATGTTGCAAAGTCTATCGCTATTCGGGGAAAACCGTTTAGTGATGGAGATTTTATTAAAATGTCTTGGTTAGATTGCGCTGATAACCTTTTTCAAGACTTTGATAATAAAGATGCAATTATACAACGTATTAAAGACTTGTCAATCAGTAGAAATACTATTTAAGAGAGAATACTAAGTATGAATTCTAATATTGAAAATCAATTAATACACGATTTAAATCAAAGTTCATTTTTTTCTATTTGCATCGATGAGAGTACAGATATAACATCGTCTGCGCGTCTTTCAATAATTTCTCGTTTCTGTATTAACGATGAAGTTCGTGAAGAACTTATAAAATTAGCATCTATACCAGCTAAAACTACTGGTGAAAATATATGTGAAGTTGTTGTAAATGTCCTTGAAGATATTGGATTAAATTTATCTAAAATTATATCAGTAACTACCGATGGCGCCCCTTGTATGATTGGAAAAGACCGTGGTTTTGTTAACCTTTTTTCAAAGAAAATTGGACATCCTTTAATTGGTTTTCATTGTATAATTCATCAGGAAGCGTTGTGTGCTAAGGATGGACTATTGCAGTATGAAAATATTTTAAAGCTTGTAACAAAAATTGTAAACTTTATAAACGCCCGAGCATTAAATAAAAGGCAATTCAGTTTATTATTAGAAGAAGTAAATTCTATTCATAAAGGACTCGTGATGTACAATAATATTCGTTGGCTTAGTAGAGGCAACCTTTTAGAACGATTTGTAGAATGTTTACACGAAATTCGTTTATTTTTGAGTGAAAACCAAAAAAATTATACTGAATTAACAGATATAAATTGGTTGTGCAATTTAATGTTTTTTACTGATTTTTGTTTGCATTTAAATGAACTCAATTTAAAATTGCAAGGTACCGGAAAAAATTTAGAGTTCATGTTTAGTTTAATAAAAAGCTTTGAAACAAAATTAAATGTATTTATACGTGATATAGAAAATCATAAATTTAAATATTTTCAACATTTAAACAAATTCTTGAATGAAATTGAAATCAACGAGACTCCTAAATTAGATGAAAATATAAAAAAAATTTTAAGTATCATAAAGGAAACAATTCAGCAGTTCAATAACAGGTTTATAGATTTTAAAAAGTTTGAGTGTAATATTAAGTTCCTCAAATGCCCTGATATTTGCAATTTCGATGAATTAGATTTACATTATTTTGAATGGATGAATATAGATACATTTGAATTTGAGTTAATTGATCTTCAATCCTGTAATACGTGGAAACAAAAATTCATTGACTTAAGACAACTAATCGAAGAAATAAAAATCAACCGTCTTCAAGCAAACGCGGTAAAAAATGCAGATAATGAAATTCTTAAAGTCTGGAACTCGCTTCCAAACACATTTAATACATTAAAAAAAGTTGCTCGATCTATCCTATCAATTTTTTCGTCAACTTATGCTTGTGAAAGTTTATTCTCCATAATGAATTTAATAAAAACGAAGCAGAGAAATACATTAATCGATGTAACTAGTGCTGCTTGTGTTTCACTGAAAACTACCAACTACACTCCAGATATTAAAATGTTATCTTCTAAAAAACAACAACAGAAATCACATTAATAAATGAAATAAAACTTTACATATATACTATTTATTTATTAAATTATATACCTAATAAAATGGTTGTAATTATTACATGCTTTTTCTTTCATCTTACCTAGAAAAAATTTTTTTTTTTTTTGGCACGCGAGCATATTTCAAAAAACTTGATTTTAAATTTTGGCACTTGACCCAAAAAAGGTTCGCCACCCCTGCCATAGTCTATACTATGTATAATAATTTAGGTGCAACATAAAATAATTAAGCAATTCAATTTTCCTTCCCAATTATTGCAGGCTTAGGACTGTCAATAAATTATCATCGTTGGATTGGTTAAAAATTGTTTTTCCTAAATTACATGACGTATGGTAAATGTATACTCAGACATAGTCAATGGTCGATATTTTTTTTGTTGATATAAAAATAATCCGTTAAAAATTTAATAATAAGAAGTTTTAAATAATTACATTTGGCGACTAGCACAAAAACGTGGTCCCGTTGCTTGCAAATAGTCAATCATTGATATTTTCTTTTTAAATTGTTTCCAAGTATCCATTATAAATTTAATATTGTTTTCTTGCTCTTTTCGTAATTTATTTTTTTTATTGCGTTTTATACTATTTATTTTTAAATAGGTTTCAGTTTGAATACCTAATATGTTTATTAATTGGAAAGTAGATGGTCGAAGTATAAAACTGCGAATTATAGTGCATATGAAAAGATTCTGGACCGTTAGTTGTTTTAGCTTCTTTGGGTGGTTTATCTGCCCATAAAATTGGTGGAAATTGTGCATCGGTTTCTATATAGTTTTTAAGTAAATAATCGGTAAATTCAAAATTAGATGTAGGAGCATTTTCAATTAAATATAAAAAAGCATTCTCTATTAAATTGGCTGGTAAAAATCCTAAAGCAAAAAATTTTTTTAGCCAAACACTCAATTCCGGATTTGATTTATATTCATTTAGTAGCTGATTATCTTTTTGAATATGTCTAAACCAAGCTTGATTTAAATGAAACCTACATGCCAGAATTCTGCATCTCGGGAAAATTTCTTTAACAGCGTTATGTGTACTTTTTTCAAAATCGAAATGAAAAGTTGATTGAACTAATGATAGTTGTTAATTTATACCCATCAATTTCAAACACAATTCTATAAGTGTAAGCCACATATCTTATATGTTTGAGTTGATTTTGAAGTCAAAAAACAATACACTACAGGTATATAAAAATCGTTTTACAATATGTGAATAGTATAAAGTTGTTCATAATGTTTGGGGGAATGTGAAAACGTCCCATCGGTGAATATGTGAGAACTTCGAATTAATATTTCAAGATTAGTAGCACAAGTAAACAATACCGGACTTAAAATTATTTCCATATGACAAAACAACTCATTAGTATTACTTATTATATTTTCGCGTTTATCAAATATTTGAACTTTTGATTCTTCAACACTTTTTGGATTTTTAAGAATACTCTTACGACAGAAATCGTAAATACTTTTTTTCCATAACCTCACATCAGAATGCACAAGTTCAATATCATTTTCTGCGTTTTTAAGTTCAGCTCGAATTAGTTTATTCGGCCTTGTTAATAAATCATTCCATTTTCCTTTTAATACGGGAATTGATAATTTGCCTACCAACGATATTTTCAGCAATTACATCGTGGTTATGATCGTTAAGCATACTAATAACAATTGTAACATCTTTATTAATAAGCAAACTTGCAGAACAATTTTTATTGGTACAACGGTATCGGATACTACCACATTTTTTTAGTTCATTAAATTACCCGTATTTATAACCATCGACTAAAATGCATGGCTTACCTTTTTCGGTTTGAAATTTCTTTTGAATTTTCAGATCCATTTCAATAATTGAAACTATATATTTTACACTAGAATATACTGTAATAATACTATAGTCTATAAACGTTCACTTTATACGCCATATAAATTGCGAATGAAACAAAAATACCAATATTCAATGCCGATATTGTGATATCGCTTATTAAGAAAATATTATCTTATCTACTGGGTACTTATCTACTAAAATGTATTGCTTTACGCCACAGACGTATGCACTATGTAAGCACTACGTCCGTGCTTTACACCGAGTCGACAATCAGATAAAATTATAAAAATAAAAATAAAAACCCATGCAGAAAATAGTTACTCTTGAAAATTGATATAACTATCGAAAAACAAATAATATCGGGTATTGACTTTAATATATAATTTATAATATAATATCAGGAGAATTAATTATTTATTTTTAATTTAATTGATTAATTATTTTATGTTGTACATACATTATTACACATCGTATATAGTATATACTATGATATTATATAGTATATATTATGATACTATATAATATACATATCATTTGGTGCTCAATGGTGTTGTGATTTTAACAAGTAAAAAGGGATCGAGGCGCAATCGTGGTGTGATTAGTCGGGTCAAAAAAAAGAAAAATTGCGCAATCGTGTTGTAGCCCAAAAAAAACAGTTTATATTTAACAAAAAAGAAAAATCTGACAAAACAGGTACAAAATAAGCGCGCGCGAAAACAGCGAGTGCGATGTGTAACGGAGTCACGATGTTTTTACGCGGAACGTTTTGTAGCGGCAAGGAGGTACGAAAAAATAATCGTGGTCAAAAAAACGTTGATGTGCGAGCGGGCGCAAGAAAAGCGAAAGTGGCTCGTCAGTCGTCGGTGCGTCGCTAACACCGCGAAGAGTCGTACATGGTGGAAGGGGAGCGCGGTGTACAGAGTCGGAGACGCGATTGGCACATGAGATAAGGAATGACACAATAATTCAGTACGCGGTACAATGATTTGGACGTACAATAATAACCGTAGTAGTGGTGATACTACGGTATCGCCACAATACTTAATCAATAGGCTACGACATTACAATGTTGAATCTACAAGCCCTTTATTTATGATTAAAAACGCGAGTTCTTGTCACATTTAAAATGACTAAAACACCTAAATGTTAGTGTAAAAAATTACTGACTAAAATAATTATTATACACTACTAGTCTACACAATATTTAACAATTAACACAGAGAAGGTGAATCCTAGTATAGTATTATATACATACGATATTATGATAATGATATCTATTAAAATTAGTATAGTATAACGAAGTGCTACATTTCAGGTGTATTATAATTTATAATATATATCGCAATGATTGTATTCTTTGTATTTATTTTGATGTGTTTTAAAAGAGTTGTAAAAACATAGTTGACAGTATTGACACTATGTTGTTCGGATATCGAACCATTCACCATTAAGAGTGCTAGTGACGTACGTAGGTACGGAAATCGCGGTTCCGGTGAATCGATTTTATTTTTCAGTTTTTACCTTAATTACTGATAAGACAGACTTGAGATTAATCAGAACTGATAGGAGCACAATATAATAATTATATTAGTATGCATTCCATTCTACAGGACGTTTCAATCGAAATTCAAAATTATTCAAACACCACAGAATTCTGTGTTAACATTCCAGCTGTTGTTATGACTTAGTTCAGTCTAAAACAATCAAGAGATTTCGGAGCTGTACGTACACCATAGATTACTTGCAATTTGTAATTACGGCACATTACTTTGACGACATAATTTGAACAATTTTACACACATTTACATACTACGATTGTTTATTCGTCTCCATAATCATTAATCGTGAAACATATCGCGTAGACGGCAGACCTAAAGCGACTACTGAGTACTGACAGCAGGCTAATCATAAATTGATAAGTTATCGGTGATAATATGTCGTGGACCGTCACGATTAGCTAACGAAGATTGTAGTGGCGTCGCCACAACTGCATTATCATTAATCATGATAACAATAAATGCTGATTAAAACGTCTAAAAATCTTATGACTGATTTGACAAAATAGATTTTGTAAATGGCAAATGCTCAATAATTATGCGGTCAAAACTTCAAAACGCGTTACGTATACAATGTAAACACAAGACAACACCAGAATCCAAACTATTATAATAATAATTTTCATTTTTTCATCGATCGATCGACAACGATATTTCTGTCGTACGATGCACTGGCCACCGACTGTTCTAGACAATTACGAATTATATAGAATAATATACGGGTAATGGGCTATACGGCTCGAGTGCTTATCATTAGAAGATAAAACAACACAAATCGTTATCGATCACAAACGCGATTTAATTATTAAAAAGGCACGGACGTATATACCTATGACTTATAAGTATGATATATACGTCCGTGATTTAAGTTAATATCAAGTAAACCGTGGTGTGGTGTCGAACGTCAACGTTTTTTATATTCAAGACCCAGCGGCAAAATCACTCGGAAGTTATCTGATTACAGCTGTGAGACAAGTACATTGTTAACGATTTTATTCTTATTTTTCAAACGCTGTGTATCATGCATGCCTTATTCTAATGATCTTTTCCAATATTGGCCAAAGTAAGATTCCGATGATCAACAAATATTTGTCGGTTTACTATTTTATGATATTGTTTATAATGGATGAGATGTTATTATTGATAAACATTTAGAATATTATACCTAAGGGTTATGATTATTTTATTTCATATTGCCCAATTCAAGTATCACTACCTATTTTTAGAATAAGGCTTGACATTTTACATAACAGTGTTTGATAATTAATGTAGTTAATTTTGATCTCATGTTAAAATTGTCTCTTGTAAGTAGGTATTACGATTTTTTGGACTCGTTTACTATTTGTTTGTTTCTTTTGTATATTCCACCTGAATCATTGAGGTGTCTCAATTCTGGGTCTTTTTTTTATCTAGTTGATAAAAAAAATCTTCATCATGGCGACAGACGATGTGGAATCCGAAATCCATTTCATGAAAACTTATAGCATAATGAAATGGGACGAACTAATGTAAGCATACTTATCTTAAACCTGGTTGTATTTTATTAATTATCTATAAGATAGACTTAAATAATTTGCTTTACTTTATTTTTATACTTCAGAAAGCTAAATGATGATCGTAAATCACTTAACCAGAAAATCACACTTGGGTTAGCTACCAGAGAAGAATTGTCGAAACAAATAAAAGTTGAATTAAATATGCTAGATACGTGTCAACTTAAAATTGATGTAAGACCTTAATAATTGATTTTTTTACAATTATTATTTTTATTTATATTTTTATCTTATAGCAAGAAATGAAAGAAAATGATACAGAAGATATTAACACTGAAATACTTACCATTTTATCAAATCGTATCAATGAATTGTACAACAATATGTTTCTACTGTTTCCTGTTGATAAGACTTCATTATCAGAATATATTGAGTTTTGCTCAAATAATGTAAGTTAACAAATTACAATATTAATGATTTTAAATTTTAATATACAAGATGGAATATGTTTTTTTTTTTTACTGTCCATAAAAACTATTGAAAAATTTCTAAAGCTTACTTTATGTAATAATTTTAGTTTAAGTTTATGGTGAATGATGACTATTAAAAAATGAAATCTTATACTGACTATCAAAAATATATTTTATACTACCAGTTGGACTGTAAATAAAGATAGATATGATGACTATTCAATGACTTATATTCTAATTGTTATCTTGCGCATATGCAATACAAGACAATACTATTTTTGTTTGCAATAGTTTAAAGATATTAGTTTCTTGTTCTTGTATAAAAAATGAATTACTAAAATATGACAATAATAATAATATCATACATATTAAAATAATACTTAAAGCCTTGTATGAGTATTAATTATTTATCATCCAAAAACTAAATAACTGTTACTGTTTAATATGATACCTACCAGAAAGTATTCGTCTAATTTGATACCTATCTAGGAATATGTACTTATACCAATAAACGTCCTACCTAATATTACACCAACTATTTTACCTAAATATTAAACTATATTACAAATATTAATACTCACAATTTTTCTGTTGGAAAATATTTATCCATTATCAGATTGTTAATAAATTAAGTGATCAACTTTTTTATTGAGTAATAATGAATCAAATGTATTAGTATGTTTATAGATCACCACTTTTCTTCTTTTAAGTATGTTTCTAAAATGTTAATAGCATCTCTCATTTGTATTCTATTTTTATCTTTTACCTTAATATTTCAATGGGTTTCATTTGGATCAATGTCAGGATTTATAAAACTTTCTGAGTGGTTTACAGTACAATTCTCAAAATTATTATTGTTCAATGTATTATATACTCTTCATTAGTTAGTAAAACATATGTATTACCCTGTTCCACCAACTGACTTTTCATATTACCTTTTTCACTGTTCATCTATATTTTTGTTCCAAAAAAAATTTTTTGAAAGTTGCAAAGAATTTTTATAAAATTTTTGTAATAGATATAAGAATGAATTAATAGCAATTGAATTGTAATGATCAATAATTTTCTTATAAGTAATTTCTGACAGCATTTAACAAATATATTTTATAGTATAAATTTGCATAAGCAATGTTTTGGATGATGACAATGATAAAATATCATCACGCATTAATAGAGAACAATTTTAATTTGTGTGATCACCAATTCCATGTTTTAAATTATCGCAAATTCAAGTTGAATTTATTTCAAGTAAAATTGGTATTTATTTGACCTAAATCACTAATAAGAATAAAACAATATTCACAAATCATTCGCTCCTAACCACTTCAAATTGATCTAGTAATGGTGCTCAGTAACACAGAATTGATGTCATTACGGCACGTTTACATCTTCCGTCTGTAGATATGTTCAAATAGTAGTTGATGTTATAACACGTATATTTAGTGTAACTATAAAATGGCCAGACAAAGCTACTTTATTAACATTTTTTGGGAAAAAAAAAAAGGCTTCCTTACATAGCTGAATGTATTTATGGGTCTCTAATATTGATACATCCAATGAGGACAAACAATAGTACATCAATAAAAACACATTATTCCATATACTATGCAACAGTGGTGTGTGGGTAAAGCCCACATACAGTGAGACTAAGTTATGATGATGATTAATTTGGTGTAATTAACTGGTTTTATTCCATTTATTGGTCTATATATAATGTAGTTGATGTAAACTGATCAGGAAGAGTTTATGATACAAAAGTTTTAAGATATACAGATATATTTTATAAATTTGAGTGAGGTAACTGTGCATCTATTGAAGGAGTGACTTTTTTTCCACTATATTGCAAATCTGGTATGATAATCATTATTCATTACATATCCAGTATTTTATAATATAGCATAATATACCGTAAACATAAAACTAAAACAGTTTTAAGATTAAAGAAGTTGTTGGGTCTGTAAGTTATAGCACTAAAAATTGGTAAATATGCAAAATAAAATTGTCAACATAAATATTTAAAAACATTTTTTAATAATATAAATTTTATATTTATATAGAACATGTAATAAATATTTAGAAACTAATGATCAACTCTAGAATATAAATAAAATAAATCTCTTAGTTGCAGTAAAATGTAACAACATTTTTAAAAATTACCATATTATTGGAAATAAATAGAATAAATTGTTTGATGCCATAGGTGATAAAAACTAATAACGTATCTACTATTTGAAAAGCAAATTAGGTGTTTTCATTTGTATATTTGTATACTTTATTGGAGTTTCATTACTTATTTCCTTAATTATATAGAAATATTCCTATAAATAGCACTTCAATTTTAAATTAGCAAAGTAACAATAGAAACTATAAATAAGCATAAATTAACAAAATTAATTTATACAATATCAAGAAAATGTGAAACAAATTTGTACGTTACTCTTGATGTTTTATGACTTACAAACAAAAATATGTAATTTCTAGAACTTACCAAATCCAGAAAGTGTATTAAACATAACAGCTACAAGCTGTATGAAATAATTGCATAATTACTTTGGATAAAAATATCAAAATTAATATTATATATTTCAATTAAATGTTAATTATAATAAATTTTAAATATACATCTGTAAATATAAGAACATAATAAATAATATAGATTCATAATAATAGTATGAACATTTAGTATTTTTCCATTTTTTGTCTAAAAAAGATAAAAGTAAAAACTTTTACATTTTTTAAATAAAACTAATTTTTATTCTGTATATTTATAAATTAAGAGGATGTCACACCCACATATGTTATCTCAGTTTTTTACATATGTACGATATTGTAAATTTTCGTTCACCAGTTTCAATAATATGCTTTTAGTTTTGATATTAGAGTGAATTTACCTATTATTAAACTTTTAGGTAAAAACATCTGTGTTCTCTCATTGGTTTTTTACAATATTCTAATTTTTAAGTAAGTTATGAGTATGAAAAATCCAACGAAAGAACACAGATAATGTTTTTACCTAAAAGTATTATAATAGGTCAATTTACTCAGTATCAAAACTAAAAGCACACTATTGAAACTGATAAACAAAAATTTACTATGTCTTACATGTGTAAAACTGAGACAACACATGCGAGTGCAATGTCCTTTTAAGAGAATTTCTTTGATTAAAATTTGGTTAGCATAAATAATGATAACTAAATGAAATAATTTTTTTTTTTTTATATTATTTAATATTCAATAAATAAACAAAAACAACTCAGTTATTATAAAACTAAACCTGAAAATAATAAAATATAAATATTACAACACTTAAATGATTTTTTCTCAAATCTATACATTTTTAATCTAGGCATTTAAAGATTTAATTATTTAAAAGCTAATATAAAGAAAAACAGCAAAAATAATTGTTAACCTTTTTTTATTTTTTACAATATACTATCACGGCACAACTTGAATGCCATATCAAAGTATTATTATTGTTTGATATCATCTAATTAACTTCAAGCAAAAATGAAAAATCAGATTATTTAAAAAGTAGGTTAGGATAAAAAGTAATATTGTTTATGAAAATAAAAACACACAAGATGGATCTGATGGCTAGGAAAACTTAGTATTATAATAAATCAATGGTTAAGTATACTTAAATGCATTTTTCAGAAATCATCTTTTAATGATTCATGTGAATATATTTTAAAAGCATATATGATAATAGTACTGCTAAAATGCAATTTATTTACATTTGATATGAACTCGAAATCATGCATGGCTAAACCTTACTTTTGACATCCCTGAGTTTCAGATATTCTAATAATCAAAAAAAATCCATGACTCCAATAAGGCCGGATTGGTTAGGCATGCTGCCAAAAAAATCTAGGTGGGCTGATTATGTTAATATGAGCAATAGTGAATTCATGAGTAAAACAATCACTAACAAATGATTAATTATAAAATCAACTATCAGAAAAATTTACCAAATAATTTTTTGCTTAGTGAATATATAAATGGACTGCTTAAAAATGAAAATCCTGGTACACCATTACATATTAATCTGGACTTAAACTCTAATCACTAATATTTAAAGTTAAATTTGGAGTTATCAACACTAACACCTGTCACCAAGCAATATAAAAGTAATAACTAATAATCAAAATATATTGATTTCAACATCCATTTTTAAATAATTGATCTATTGTTTAAATTACTCATTAGTTTCTGAAGCATTCATATTTCATAATACATCCAATGAAATTTAAATGGGATCACCATTTAAATGCTCTAACATAGTACGTAAATTTTTTTGTATCTTTCATAATGTTAAAATATATTTAATATGCAAATAAAAAGGCTTTTATACATATTGCATGTACAAGCTTTTTTAAAAACATCTGTAAATGGACTAATAAAATTATTATTAAATTGACCAAAATAAACCAATAATGAATATGTGTACTATGAAATTAAAGTATAGCAGAACCGGATCCAGCAGTCACCCAAGGGGGAGGGGGAGGCGAGCGAATTTTCAAAAATTAAAATACCTTTTTTTTTTATTTAACCTAAATGACTAATTAATAATTATTTGCATTATTTCACCTATACAACTAAATAAATATGAATATAATAAACTCAATAAACAATATACTTTTATCACAATTGTATAATACAATCAAATCAATTTTTTTTTCTTTGGCAAATCTATCAATAATACCTTCACCATTTAATTGTATATCCATGTGGATTGTCAAGTGTTTTTCCTTCATTTGAGATGTAACCAAGTTTTTAATCTAATAAATTTAAAGCAATAACTATTTAAAATTTAGAAACTTTAAAATATAAATATTTATAATATTATATAACTAAGTGCTATTACTAGAGGCAGATAGGTTAAATTAATGTTACCGGGAAATGCATTACCGTAAGGGCCCAATAAAAATAAAAGAAATACATTTAGACCACGCACATAATATTATAATACATATTTTTTA